GCTTCTTTAGGTAGCTTTTCAAATAAGCTAGTTGAATTTTTTATTCCAGCTAGCTTATCAGCTAATTTTACCAAACACTATTATCATAAAAGCTAGCTTTTCAGCTATAAGTCATAAGCTATAATTTATAAGCTGAAAAATTACTAATAAGCTATCAGCTAGCTTATCAGCTAGTTTCACCAAACATAGCCTAAGACCGTGAGGCTGGGTTGTCACATGTATCGACCAGTGTTTTAAATACCATATCGGTAGCCATACCGGTCTAGCCACCAGTACGCTGTATTTCCGGTCAGACCGGTAATATCGGTGCTATTACCGGACTAGCAAATATAATGATATATATATATTTATATATAAAAATGTATAATACCAAATGCAAAAAAGTAAAGAAATAAATGATCATAATCATTAATTTTAACTTACCAATGAGATAAAAATAAAACATTTAACTACCAATTTAAATTTAATTTTTTTAAATTAATATATATTTTTATTATGACCGGTATTTTGGACCTGTTTTTTCTGGTATTTACGGTATGACCCCGGTACAAACTGGTATAACCGTAAATCCGGTATTCTGTGTGCAATTGTACCGTACCAATGGTCGGTATCCAGTATTACCGGTATTACTGGCCGGTACGGTACGATATTGAAAACACTGGTATCGACCACTCCTTCGAGGGTGGGCATGTGTTCGAGGACAAAAAAATCCACCATTATTAAGGCCGCGAGGTTGGGAGGTCGCATGTATCGACCACTCTTTCGAGGGTGGGCATGTGTTCGACGACGAAAATCCACCATGATTAAGGTCGCGAGGCTGGGTGGTTGTATGTAACGACCACTCTTTCGAGGGTGGGCATTTGTTCGATGACAAAAATTCACTACGATTGAGGCCGTGAGGCTGGCTGGTTGCATGTATCGACCACTCCTTCGAGGGTGGGCATGTGTTCGACGACAAGAACCCACCATGACTAAGGCCTTCGGGCTGGGTGGTCGATCCTAGTGGTGGGTCGTTAAAGATATGGAGCCTATCGGAGACTTCAGAGGCAGGTCGATTGTTTTTACTTGATTTGGTGTATGGTTTTGATTTTGTCGAAATTGTTTTTCGACCTTAGTGGCAGGTGGAATGGAGTTCAGATTATTCAGATCGATGGTTTTTGCTTGACTTGGTTTTGTCGAATTTTATTTTTCGACCACAGTGGCAGGTCGATGGAGTTCACTTGGAGCAATTCAAAGAGTTTATTTGCGGACCTCGGTGACAGGTCGATGATCTTTATTTGATTTCAGTTTTGTCGAACTTATTTTTCAACCTCAGTGGCAGGTCGAGATTCGATGGAGTTCATTTGGTGCAATTCATGGAGATTATTCGAGGATCTCAGCGGCAGGTCAATGATTTTTACACGGTTTTATCGAAGTTATTTTTCGACCTCAGTGGCAGGTCGAGATGGAGGTCATTTGAAGCAGATCGTGAAGATTATTCAATGACCTCGGTGGTAGGTCGATGGTTTCATTTGATTTTGTCGAATTCGGTTTTTCGATTTTAGTGTGGCGTCAGGATATTCGGTTCTCGAGACGATAAACAACAGGGTTGAATTTCAGATTTTGATCTAAGGGGCGATGATAGGACGAGGTGATAGAAAAGGTTTATCTTTGAGGTAAGAGAGCTCGAACAATGTGGTCTAGAAACAGCATGCATGAGTTCAAATTTTCAAATTCCAGACTTCAACGAGAGATTGAGCAAATCTATCAAAATATCATGGAAGTCCAAGAAAGAAGGTTGGGAGATAGCAAAGGAAGGTCGACATTGCAAAATGAGGAGCATAGGAATCTATTCTAGGAATCAAGGTTCGACCCTAGTGGCGGGTCACTTGGTTTTCGACCTCAATGGTCGTTCCGCTTTTGGTTTTCGACCCCAGTGGCGGGTCACTCGATTTTCTGCCTCAGTGGTCGTTCGGATTTTAATTTTCGACCCCAGTGGCGGTTCATTCAGTTTTCTACCTCATTGGTCGTTCGGCTTTCAATTTTCGACCTCAGTGGCGGGTCACTCGGTTTTCGACTTTAGTGGACGTTCGGCTTTCAGTTTTTGACCCCAGTGGCGGGTCACTTGATTTTCGACCTCAGTTGTCGTTTGGCTTTCAGTTTTCGACCCCTATGGCGGGTCACTTGAATTTCGACCTTAGTGGTCTTTTGGTTTCGACCCCAGTGGCGGGTCACTCGGCTTTCGGTGTTCGACCCCAGCGACGGGTCACTCGATTTTTTACCTCAGTGGTCATTTGGTGTTCGATCTCAGTGGTAGGTCATTCAATTTTCAACCTTAGAGGTAGGTCTTTCGGTGTTCGACCTCATAGGCAGGTCTCTCGGTTTTCAACCTTAGTGGTCATTTGGGTCCCGATGCTCATTTGGAGGTTAGGTGACTATTTGGTGGTCGATGATTTATTCAAATTATAACTTCAGCAGCAGGTTGACGGAAACAACCCGAAGACGTATATCACTCTTGGATCGAGTCATGGTTACTCGACCTGAGTGAAGGGACTAAATGATATAGGATATTATATTAGACCGGTTTTAACGGATAAAAAGAAAATATATTGGAAAGTACCCAATGGGCTAGGACACGTGGCATGATGGTATTGTACAAGCCCAACTTGGGCCATAAGGTACACTCCCCCTATAAAAGGGAGCAAAGGTATCTCATTCTCTTAGGATTTGGAGTTTTGGAGTGATATTGACTTGAGCGTCGGAGGCTCGACGACAGGACCCCTCCCGGCGTTGGGTTCTTGCAAGTACGGAGGCCGTTTGAGTTGAAGGAGCCCGGGTAAAATCCATTTCCACCAACATTATAAACTTACAAACACGCTTAATTTAAAACTTAAAAGAAAATGCACTGAACGGAATTTTGTCTAAAATACATGATAGAACACTCAGAATGGCTTGGTGAACCAACTAGAATGGGTAGCTTGGTTGTGGTTGATTCAAGAGAGCTCAACTCGTTTCTTGATTCATATACATGTCAGGGAGCTCGTTTAGGTAGCATAGAGTAGAAATCGAACTAGTTCAAATAGGTCAGAGGTTGGGGAACCTAAGGAGTTTGGATTCCAGACGGGACCTGTTGTAGTTATTTTTACCATAGTAGAATCGAAATACTCGAACACCGGGTCGTGTCTCAAGAAAAGTCAGCCGGATTACTTTGTACGAATATTCAGTCACACGAAAAAGGAAAATAATCCTAAACACTCTAATTCAAATGGTTGGTTTTGATTATCAACTACGCGATTAACAACTAATGATACTCGATCCAGCAATTTCAATGTCACACCCCAAAACACAATTCAAATAATGATAAAAGGGACGAGGGTGTTGGGGACAATCGTTTTCGGTTCTCAATACATTAAACGGCAGTCGATCACTCGGCTAAGGAACTCAAAAAACCCACTCATTAGAGATTCATTCTCGATAACTCACGTAACAAGAGAATAAACATAAACGATCAATTATCGAATCAATTAGCACATAGACAATACGTTTCAGAACAAGTCTATTCTAAACGAGCCTAGATCGATCGATTCCTCCCCTTTCGGTTCTAAAATCGATTAAATAGATTAAGATGGTGATCAATCATCCAACCCTAGCTTCAAAACAACTCGAATAGATTGAGCAATCAACATACACACAAACGAAATTGAATCGGAACAATTATCCCCTAGCCCTAGTTAACTAATTTAGCTACTCATCATAGATTCAACAACGAAATACACATCAATCAAAGCCATCATCATCATAGATAAAATGAAAAAGAAAGCTTACTATTAAATACGAATCCAATGTTGAAAAACAACAAGCAATCCAAATTCAAAAGCCTAATCTTGAAGTTTTCACTACCCAAGATCAAATCCAAGTGAAAGATAAGAGAAAACTGAGTTCTTAGCTGTTGGACCAGCCATCGGTAAGAAAGGTAGCGTCGCTAGCCTTATTAACCTTAGCGGCGCTAAGGCTCTGGGAGGTCCAAAAGTTGCTTTCCTTTGGCTCACGTTCTCGGCTCGCGTTGCTCGGGTACTGCTGAGCTGAAAACTTGACCTCTGCATGTTTGGTCGCATGAACTGGCGGAACGACATGAAACCACCAAAACCAGAAAAAACACGAAAAGCAAGGAAAGTGGAGAGAAAAGCAAAGAAAATGCTAAACATACCAAAATAAAGATAAAACACGAGAAACAACTAAACGGACCGGTAACACCTAAGAAACGACCTAAAAAGAGGGAAAATACACGCAAAGCATAAACAACAATAGCAACAGAAATGGGACAAACAACTCCCCCACATTAAAACCTTTGTTCGTCCAGAACAAAAAGAAAAGAAAAGAAAAGAAAAGAAAGATAAACAAACGAGCAAGGACAACGGTTCAAGCAAGACTAATTTCAAACGAATCAATCAAGTCAAGAAGAAGTCAAATGATCACAAGAGCACACCTCAACTATTAACTTGGTTATTTTGAAGGACATAGACTCTCGAGTAAAAAAGTATATCATATGTGTCTCACTCAATTTCTTTCTCAAATATCAACTGGGTACATCCAAATTGGTCATCAGTCGAATCAATTATAAGTTTGCCTATCATCTAACCCCTACTCTAAAACAATCAAATTCATGAAACAGTGAATCAAGAGGACTTTGAGTGATGTAACGTAGGCTCTTTGGATCGGGTAGGATAAATATAGGCTAAGTGGCCAAATAAAAATCAACTCAACTCAATCAGATAACCATAATCATGAACTCCTCCGGTTGCTTACACCAACCGGTTCCTCCCACTACTCCAAAATCAACTACTCCAAAACCAACATACTTCCCAAATTATTCACCATTTCTCTATTATTATTGTTATTATTATTATTATTATTATTATTATTATTATTATTATTATTATTATTATTATTATTTTGTGAGAACCTTTGGACATTTTACGTAATCCATTCGGTTTCTCTCTTTTTCTCTCTTTTTTTTTGTGTTAGAACCTTTGGACATTTTATGCAATCCATTCGATTTTTTTTTTATCTATATATATATACAAACACGAATCACCTCCAATTCTACACCCGAAACTCCACAATATCATCGTCACGAGGTTATAAAAGAATGAAAATCAATAAGGCTCAAAGGGGGTGACTAGCGAAGTTATTTTCAGAAAAAGAAAAGGAGAAGGAAATACAGGGAATGCCTCAATCATATTCACGTTCACAAATCCAATTAATTCATTTCTAAGTAGACTCAAGAAAAATTCTAATTGACAACGATTATGATAATAACTCACGAGAAAAGAAATGAACGTGGCTCAAACCTTACAAGGTAAAATAACTGTCCACAAAACAACCAAGCGCCACTCATTCTCATCATCACAACTTCTTAACCCAATCAATCAATCTTAACTAGTCTTACAATACACCAAAGTTCAAGCTCAGAAAGACACAAGTAAATAATCCTACAAACTAGACCGGTCCACAAAGCAAGAGAAAAGAAAATAAAAGCAATCCTAAAAAGAAAATCTAGACCTGGTTAACTATATAGTCACGTAAATACGTAAAACTCCCCCACACTTAAAATTAGACAATGTCCCCATTGTCAATCCTAAGTATAAGAGAGCTAGACCACACAATTAACCGACTGAAAAATAAAACAAGCCATACAAAACTAAAAGAGAAAGAGAAAGAAAAACGTACAAAGCACAGTGACAAGTCACTGTGCGTCTGATGATGGCGGTGGGGGTTTGCTGCTCCCCGCATTCCTAAGGGTATCCCAATGGCGGAATCGGGTATCCCAAGTGCTCCACTGCTGGTACTGCTGGTCCGCCCAAGTGTCCCATCGGGCATCATGGACTGTCCAGTGCGCCGCATTAGACTGCATAAACTCGTCCCACCTCTTGGTCTGCTCCGTCCAACGTGCATTGTTGGACTCCACGAACGACGTCCAACGCGCGTTGTTCTGCTCGGTGAAAGTTTTCCAACGTACCTGATTCCGAGCCTTATACTCGGAGAACCAAATTGGAGCACCCGGCTGGGAAGATGCACCCCTGTGCACGTCTATTGATGGAGGAGGTTGAATGGTCTCGTGAGCGGGATGTCTGTCGGTGTCGGAGTCGTACCCGTCATCATCCTGAGAGTTCTTGCCGGCTGGACCAGCCGACGTACTGGTTGTCTATTGGGACTCATCGTCCGGAAACGGTATACCCATTTCCTCACAATAGGCCTTGTAGCTGGACAGCTTGGTGACGGGCTTCGGAGTGTGTGGGTTGATCAGGTAGCCGGCGTGCCAGAGGTCCTTCTGTGAAAATGGCTTGGCACGGATTGGGGGTTCGTCGATGTCAACCCCAAAGTACTCGGCTAACTTGGACACCACATGGCCCAAGTTTGGACCACGCCTCCTGTCGTTGCGTATGTCGAAAAGAGTGTCCTTCAGGTACTGCAACATGGTCACCGACTTGTCGTGAGAAATCGACCACAAGATGAACACCTGCTGCTCGCTCATCTTGTTTGACTCCTTCTTGCCGAAGATCATTTGCTATATGTACTTGTGGATCACCACATGAGCCAAGTCGCTAATTAGTCTCGAAGATGGCCCCGACTTCTTGCATATCTCGCATGGGGAGATGATCGCCCAATGCGGGTCAACTTTGTACCCAATGGGGCTGTCATGTGTCGCGGTTGAGGAATCAAATTTTTAACACTTTGTTGGTGATTTTATATTCTGTGCCCTTTAGTCGAGCCGTGAGGTACTTCCCATTTTCGTGCTTGGCGACTGTGCTGAAGAACTCCAGAGTCAAATACCGGCAATCATACGGTTCCGTATCTTCGAATTCCTCGAGGTCGAGGAACTTGATATAGCGGTAGATATCGTCACCGATCTTGAGCTCGTCGTTGAAGTACTCTTAGTCGATTTGGCGTGGTGCTAGAACGGGCCTGGCGTGAAGCCTTTGTACGCCTTGACCTCGTCCATAGACACGAATTCAAAGGGAATATCGTGTTGTTGTGCTAAGGACAAGGCCGGGGCTGGCGGGTCGGGGTTGGCGCTCGTGGAGGCCGCCACTTTGCCCTTTGAAGCTGCAGAGGCCTTTTTATTCGCGTTAGCTCCGCCTTTGACCATGATTATTGGTTCGGACCATTCGTCGAACACGTGGTGTGAGAGAATTGAGCTTAAGATGTTGTGGACAATTTGGAATGATTCGAACTCGGAGTAAGCCTATTCACGCCACAACAATGCACCAATTTCAGTTGGGGAGAGCCAATCGTACCTTTGAGTTGAAATTAACCGGAAATAATGAAGTGCCACGAACTAGGATTTTGTGGAGGGCTGTTGACTGGGGTGAACGGAAGTGTTGAAGTTGCTGGTCATTCGTCGCCAGAGGTACTGGGTGGATCGCCGGAGCAGATAGGACGGTCGGTTGGTCGGGATTGGAAGAGAATTCACAGCTAGGGTTCGGAGGTGAGGTGTCGTGACTTGGACTGCAATAGATGGAGGTTGAGGGTGTGTGGCCGGAGGTCGTGATGTGCCGGAGAAACGTCGCCAGAAGTTGAATGACTGGCGGTGGTCATCAGTTGGTCGGAGATGAGGTGCGGTGGAGAGGTATGGTCGCGGGTTGTGTTTAAGAGATGAGAGGAGAGTTATGTTGAAAAGGCCCATCTTTTTTTTTTTTGGCTTAATAGCGGAAAAATTCACGACCTTTACTTGATTGGCCATTTAATCATGACTTTCAAACCTTAGCAAGTAAATACACAACCTTTAGATTTTTGGCAACCTAATACACGGACTTAACGTCCGTCAACGGAAAGCTGACGGGGCATTTTTTTAACGGCCACGTCACCAAAAAGCTTGACTTAGCAGGAGCCAAGTCATCACCTACGTGGAAATGTTGAAAAACTATTGCAAAGAGGGGGTTTGAACCTGGTACCACTAGCAAATAAAATGTGCTTATGAGCCACTTGGTCTAACACAATTTATGTTAAATATTTGACTTCACTTATTCATATACAAACATCATTTTATGTAATATATTTATATATATATAT